TGGAGTTTAGACTACAGCCCATTTATTTATTTTGCTGGAGCACTGTCCCATAAGGAAAATCCTAGGCTGGGTTTAAAGAGCCAGACAATGGAGCAGCCGTCACATTTAGATGTTGCTTTTGAAACAATACCCTAATGCTACATCACTTTGCTCTGCTGGGTTCTGCTTCTACTTGTCAATGGCAGAAATCACAAGATCAGAATTAGTGAAAGGGCTTTAGTGATGTTTAGTGCAAAGCATGTTGAAAATGAAAACACCGAGCTCAACTCTGCTGAAAAAGCAGCTCTTAGGTTCCTAGGTTTCTTCTTGACTAGTGGGTAGAGGCATTACCTCACACTCAGTATGGAATCAGGCAATGGACTGTGTGTTTCAGACTTTTGCAAGAAAATAGTAATCTTACACTTGGAGTAAATATTAAGAGTGCCAAATGTATGTCAAAAATCTAGACCATTTACTACCATGGAAAGGGGCTTGAGTCTCCCAGCATTTATAGAAAAGAAAAAAGAGACATGTCTAGTCTTACTGTCTGTGAAAATAATCTTAGAACATTTTTGGAGTCTGCAGATAGCCCAAAATAAGAGCCTAAAGCTGTAGGACTTGCTGTATTTACAGCCTACTCATTTTCAATGACAAAATGAAAAAAAGAATAGTATTTTTTACCAATATATTCTGTTGAAAAAAACAACTTATCAACAGTTTTTAGTAAAAAATTTTGATGCTGATTTGCTTGCTCTATTGCCAAGCTCCTCCTCCTGCTCCGGGTTTTTAAAAATACAAAAGTGGTAAATTTAAACAGGTAGAAGCAGCTGCATATTGCGAAGAGGCATGGGGTGAATAACTTTTTCATTTATTAAAAAAATATGGAAGCTAAGATTGAAATTGGCAAACAAAAAATCCTGAAAAAACATTGGAAAGCAAACACTTGACATTTATTCTGTAAAGTGAGCTTTCAATTCTCATTAGCCTGATTAGAGCGATTTATATAACAGTTTTGGTTTTGGCTTCCCTGTGATATTAAGTGCCTCTTACAGATTGCTTAATATCTTAGACATCTTCAAGGACTTCCATGTCCCTTAAGCATCTCTGTTAAACTTCTAAATCTCACTTGCTCTCTTACAATCAGTGACTTTTACAATGCAATTATGTGCAAGGATTTTGAAATCTGGGGTTGTGTATGCATATATTTGTATATATCTGTCCAAAACAGATACTAAGATACTGTGTAAAGGGGATTACGTAGTAATTTTCTGATGAATCCATTGACAATGTTAGTACTTTTAAGGTTTGCGAACTACTTGAGATCTCTCTGTCACATCAGATTGCTGCAAAACCTTGGAATCTTGCCATGAAAATAAGGACTAGTTTGACATGGATTACATGCGTTTTTGCTAGTAATTACAGGAACAGGACATTTGGCAAGCTGGCATTTGATGGGGGTACAAATATGACAGGTCAAGCAGGGTAACAGGAAATACTGGGAGCAGCTCTTTCAGCCAAGTTTGGTTTTTAAAGGACCAGGTCAACAGTAACAGACCTAACTAAAAGCCTAAGTCTAAACCAGAACAGCCAAGACTGCGTGTGATACCCCACCTAATTGCTCAAATCTTTCTTACTTATTACCACTTTCAGTTTAAGCCCTGTGTTTATTATGAGTGTGTAAGGAGTTTCTGAGCCCTTGCGCTGTGTATGGACACAGAGCCCTGCAAGTGTGCAACTGCTAAGATCCATTTAAAACTTACTTTGTGCACAGGGATATTCTATTGGATAAACTGAGAAATATCAGAACTAAAAACATAACTCACATGCTTGGGGGCAAAGCAAAGGCTGTGGATCCAACTGGGAGGCTGAAATTACTAACTTCTGAATGATTAACTGTGTGACCTTTGAAGAGCCTGTACTGCAGGAGCTTCATATCTTCAGGATTTTTGTGAGATACCGAGAGCGTAGGTCTATGGTCTTTCTGCAGAATAGTTCAAAGCTTGGAAACCTTATCCTGGGGGTAGAGATATAAGAAGCCTTATCTATTCATTTCAGAAAAGAGAAGGTGAAGAGGTGGCTTGGTCAGAGTCCACAAGACTTTAGTGTGGTAGAAGGTTTCTGTGAACAAAGAACTCTTTTATGCAGCAGAGAGAGGCATAACAAACCCTGTGTCTGGAAGCTGCAGCTCAGTTTATACAGATGGGAACTGAGGTGCAAAATAATGGGCTTGAGGCAGAAATCACTGACACAAATTCTATGCCTGGTGTTACACTGCGGATCAGACTGGGTCATCACAACCAGCACTCTTGGCTTTGAAATCTGTATGCCTATGATTAACGTGATTCCCACATTATATGCACACATCAGCATTACATTTAGTCACTGAAGAAGAGAGAGAATGCATTCAATTAGCTCTGGGCTTTCTGCCTAAAGAGGGAAAATGAAGTGAGATTTTGTTTAAGGACAACTCTGGTAACTCTGAAAAACAACATGGAATTATTAGCATTTGGGCAGATTGAACAGGTTTTCAAGGCCCAGTACAAAAGACCTTGCAGAAAGATCTCTGTTCTCAGTGACCTGCACAGAAAGCAGGCCAGAAGGAAGGCCTGTGCCTACCCTACTAGGGCTTAGTTGTGGTCCTAGAAAGCATAGGACATGCTTAGATAAGCAAATCAGAGGTAGGCAGGTCCATACTAGAACCCTTTATTTCAGTAGGGATCTTGCATAAATAGAAAGGGGAATATCCTTTTGTCTGAGGATGGTCTTACTTAGAAAGGGTGGTATGGATGATGGTAATGGAAGGGAACTGAATCCTTTCCAGAGCAGCCCTGGTTTAAATGTTTCATTTTGCTGGAAAACCCCTAAGTTCTTGTAAGAACTTTAGAATAGAGTCACTTTAAAGTGTTCCTGACTCACATGATGGGAATTCATTGCATTGAAAATCTAATTTTCAAAATGAAAAAATTATGATTTTCAAATGTAAAATAACTTGTCTTTGAAAAGGTAAGCAAGATACCATTTTTTTCAAAACTGCACTTTCAAATCTCATTTAAGTACTCAGGGGGTATCAAAATGAAATTTGTTGGTGATTTCAGATAGAAAACGTTTTAATAATAATTATGGTGCATGAGTAGTGTTTCACCCTTTGAAGTTTATTCAGATCGGAAATACTTTGAAGTTGGTTATCTCAGAATCACATAATCACAGACTGGGTCAGGTTGGAAGGGACCACTGTGGGTTATCTGGTCCAACCCCCCTGCACAAGCAGGGCCACCCTAGAGCACATTGCACAGGGTTGCATCCAGATGGTTCTTGAATATCTCCAGTGAGGAAGCACAGTCACCCACACAGTAAAGAAGTTCTTCCTCATGTTCAGGTGGAACTTCCTGTGCATCAGTTTCTGCCCATTCCCTCTTGTCCTGTTGCATGGCACCACTGAGAAGAACCTGGCTCCATCCTCTGGGTGACCTCCCTTTAGGTGCAGGACCCTGAATTTGCCTCTGTTGAATTTCAGAAAGTTCCTCTCTGCCCTTGCCTCCAACCTGTTGAGGTCCTTCTGAAGGGCTGCACAGCCCTCTGGGGTATCAGCCACTCCTCCCAGCTTTGTGTTGTCAGCGAACTTGCTGAGGAGGCTTCTGTCCCTTCATCCAAGACATTGATGAATGGGACAAGAAAATCACTTCCTATACAGTCTTATTTTCTGCCATGGGATGCTAAAGCATCTGTAGTTGTCACCCACGTGTATAGATGAGTCCTTTCAATACAGCTGCTTTGTTTTGCTTTTCCATTTTTTCCATCAGAGTGCCCAGTTATTCCAGACCAACACTTGTATTTGTTGAACATTTCCTATCATCTGTCTCCAAGGTCCTCAGTTTAAGCAGAGTGCTGAGGCGTGGATAATTGAACTCACTCATTTTGGGGTCCAGGTTGTTGTTGACTTCTCTTTCTCTTCTCTCTTGCAAACTTTCATTTTAAAAGGTCACAATTTTCTTTGCCAAGTTGTGAAACTTGGTTTTGGGTTTTTTCATTCTGTTTTCCAGCCACCTTGCAAAGGAAGTATCATGTGGAGTCATGCTTTTGATGTCACCTAGGACTGCGGGTCTGCACTATGCACATCTGAAATAGCTGGTTTAGACCCTTTTCATTTTCATCTTGTTGCTTTTGGCAGGAAAAAAGGTGTTCAAAAGTAAGAGAATTTGTTCCCAGCTGATTTGAAAACTGAATGGCTCCCTGTTTGTTTTTTTCTTTTCTAAAAGTCCTTTACAAGGGACTGTTTTTTGAGGGCTTGTGATCACGCGTGTAGTTTGCTTTCTGTCTAGCCACAGCAGTTTACCACTTACAAAAGAGTCTTTCAGCACCTGACCCTGTATTCAGGGCAAGATCTGCAACCTTTAATTGTTTAATTAGCTGGTGCTAGCTTAAAATATATAACAGAGCTCTCTCTCAGGTAAGTAGGTTATTTCAGGAAGCATCCCCACAAATTATTTTCATTCCTTTTCCTTTGCTACTTTACCCAGCAGAAGGAAGCAAAGGTCGTGATCTTTGACAATGATCAGCCCACCTTCAAAATACTTGCAAGTAGCCCTCATCTTCTCAACTAATGAAATAAAAGCCTCTATCAGGACTCTCCTATAGTAGGCTGTTTGTGCCTGATGTGCTCTCTGCTGAGGAGGGGTGTGAGTGGTGGTGGCTAAAAGAAAAATGACCTTATATCTTTTCATTGCTTCTTTGTTTGTTTAGTGGTGAGCAGGCAACCCTTTCATCTGAAAACTTGTGCATTCTTTTCTACTCCATAAAAATGTGGAGTCAAATATAATCCCAAGTTGGGCAGGAAGGTGCTTTACCTACAGTAACAAACAGTACACGGAACAAAGGCTGCTTGTCCTGACTACCTCTGTCAAAAACAAAAGATCATGAGTAAAGGTGAAAGGCAGTACTTCTAAAATGTATCCTTTTAAACATCAGTTAACTGCAGAAGGTGACACTGACAGAATACGAGGTTTCATTTTATGTGTTTGCAGATTTTGACATGATGAGGAGACAATTGAGCTGCTGAGAAGTTTTTCTTCTTTTAATGACATTCAGACACTCCTGCTACAAGAAGATGAGTTAGCATTTGCCATCTTCATCGTGCTGCCAACTGATCTCTCCCAGTTTATTTCTGGTAGAATTTCCAATATTTTTAATACCATAATGCTGGCAGATAAAAGATTAAGAATAAACTGCCTCTATCCCTATCTTTTCTGTGAGAGATAAACAAGAGTGAACATAAAGTACGTCAGTAGCATTTTTATGGAGCCACTTTTTAAACTGTAACTTGTTTTAAAGTCAGCATTGCACTTGGCTCAAATGATGAGATACCGACATTAAATGCTACTCAGGCAGAGCCAGTGTTAATATTTTCAATGCTTTATTAAAAAGGAATGAATGTAAACTAATTCTACTTCTGTTATGATGAAGTTCCTTCATAACATCTGAGCAAAATCAAAGCTCTTTGAGGACTTAGGCAAAGTATAATTTTTCTGCTGTTTATTTGGGGCAGGGAGCAGTGAGGGAATGATTTTTAAAATGCTTACTGAGAGTCAGCTAATTTTCCTCATCCCTGTTTGAAAGTTTCCAGAAAAAGGAGCATGAGGAAATCAGGTCGACTCCCATGGTCAACAGCAGCCAATGCCAATGAATACGTGTACTGTTGGTTAGTGAAACTCATTATCCCTATGTGCCAGAACTGAGACAATGGAGACAAAAGTCACAGCCATTCAACTCCAAATATATCACTGGGCTAAATTGCCTGACATGACTAAGAAAATGATTGATCAAAAGAAATTACTATGCAAGAAAAAAACCTTCTTCTCTATCACCAATCTCTTGTCCCCTCCTGCACCTGGCACTGGCTACCTAGTCAGTCTACAGGACACTTAACTGGGTGCTGTTATTTAGCTACAGGAAAGACATAATTTCTGCAGCAGATGAGCACTAATGCATAAATTCTGGTAACCTCACTGCAAAATATTGATATGTTAATCTATCCATTTTGCAGACGAAGAAAAGGGGCAATTGCTAGTGTGCCACTTCAGCGTTACTGTCTGCCTTGAGTCCTACCCGTGTCTGTATAGTAGACTGACATATTTTAATTCTAGCAGGCTCACCTGCCATGTGCCTGCTTTAGAGCCTGAGCTGGTCTAACACCTCCACTTTGTGTTGCTAAAGTTGTACCCTGTGCAGCTCACACATCAGTTCACAGTGTGGTCACTGGGTCACCCTCTATTCTAGCTTCTAACCATGGCAAGCTGGTGGCTCTCAAACACTAGGGATGTTGCAATTCATCTGAAGAGGGTTCCTCAGATGAAAATCTGGAAATGAAGACTGCTGACTGGGAAGCAAGAACCAGACTGTCTCAGAACTAGACTATCTGATAAACTTCATTTTATCAGCTTGTTGGATCAAATAGGATAGATCAATACCATTCCATCACGACAGTTTATCATCTGGAGTCCCTCTGTAGCTTACAGAGACAGATCTTAAGAATGACAGTTCCTTTCCAAATGCTCCACAAAAAAATATTGGCTCCAGTTGGTGTTAAATAACATGAGTTAGTTTAAACAAAGTCAAGCAGTTCAATGCTTTGCATTCCATAGAAGTTAATGAATATTTCTTGCAGTTCTCTTTATTCTTTGGATGACACTGTCTTCCTGGAGGGTGGATAAGAATATGAAGTCTGTGAAGATAAAGCAGTAAGTCTTGCTGTGACTCAGGAGAGAAGGGAAGTGAAACAGACTGTGAACTAGAATCAATGGGATATATGAAGATTGCATACTTCTTGTCCAAGTATATTGGCTGTACAATTCTGTATCATGATCCAAGGTTATGCCTGGTACTAGCTCAGCTGTATTTCAGCCAGGTCCTCGCTGAAGAAAGGTGGACTTAAGGAATTTATTCTATTCTATTTAGTCTCCGTGTTCCAGGAGAAACCGAGTGCTGCCACAGCTGAGGAAATGGTATAATATACAGATATGTTAAAAGAGATGGAAACCAAAAGAGAGCTATGTACTCATGGTGAATAAGTAAGGCATTAAGAAGACATTTCTGTTGTAAGAAACATTGAGGTACACACTATTCCTCTCTCTAGTTGAACAGTACCTCCATAAGCAAAAAGTTGTACCAAAAAATACCTTTATCCGTGTTCCTAACTCCTCCAATAAGAATCTAAGTAGGTCCAAAGATTCACCAAACCTAGTTCTGCAAAGAGACAAAAGCAGTGAAGATGTGAGGGAAAAAATCATTTTAGTAGTTTTTAAACTGCTGCCTTTCATACTTACAGTAGTCTATTCAATTCTCTGTTACAGTGGGAAAGGGAGATCATCTTGCCCCACCCTGAACATCACAGTCTAATCTGTTCTTTTTATTTAACTGGTCTCTTAGTTCAACAGCCAATTATATATTTACCGAGTTCTCAGTTTAAAATCATTCTCAGGCTTGTGGAATTTTTGCTGCCAACCTCAAGAATCCATCTACTTGTCTTTGCTGAAGACTTGTGTCAGCTTAGACAAATTGCATTTGGCCAGATGGCAGTGCCCTTGCCCATGGTAAACAGAGCTTTGTTACACAAACAGGCCTGCTGTCATTAGTGTGCTGCTCAGCAGAGGAGGTTTGAGCTAGCTGCAGTAAAATCTGTTGTCTTGATATAAAAATCTTCTGTGTGATAAGAATCTTCCCCATATGGATGAGGAAAATCTGTTCCTTCTTTCCTTTGCTGAGCATGTTGAGCTCTACAGATGTAAACCTGCCCATATGTGCTAAACACATCTGAGTATTTTCAGGCATTTCAGTGGTACTCTGAATCAACAACATCGTGAAAGAACCTGTCAGAAGGTAGAGAAATTATCTTTGAGAAGCTGGAGATATTTTTTTAAGATCCAGAGGGAATGAAAAAAATCAAAATTTTGCCAGGGAACATTTTTTTAAAACATTTAGTCCAATGATTTGCTAGATGCTAGATCTATTTGTTGAAATCTGTGTTCTATGTATTAGAAATAGCTGCACTGTATTTCGGTGAATATTTATAGAAAAGCTAAGCCCTGGTCCTAGAGCTTGTCTCTGCTTTTCTCTTTTTTGAAGCTTGCTATTTATATCATCTAACCATAGTATAGTTTGGCTCGCAAAGCTGTGGCTGACCAAAGTCCTGAGGGCCTGCCACACGGAAGATGACTTCTCCACTGGTTAAACCCCATCAAAAACAGCTTTTCCACTGGATGTGCCGGGAAGCATCTCACTGAATAAATCATCTTTTCTAAAGAGAAAAAAGTTTTGTGGCATAATTCTGCTGACTACACTGAACTTCTGCCCCAGAAGGATTCTGGCCCTTGCCTCTTGCCTTTGCTGTTATAAACTCTTCTGCTTTTAATAAATAATTGAATCTTGATGAGTTTCTTCTAAGTAAGCTTACACAGCAGTAAGACTGCAGGATTTTCTACATGGCAGCAAATTGCAAAGAATAAATAACTGCAGTATTTTTCATACAAGCGAAGAAAAGAAACCAATCATACTCTCAGCTGTTTGAAAATCTTGGTAAGTTTAATGTGAAAAACAGAGACCATATAGCTTCCATTTCAGAACATCAGAAATGTGAGATCCTCAAGTTCTTTTTGACAAGCTCTACCACTTTGGTAGCAAAAATTAGCATCATTTAAGGTAAAAGGCCATTGCCAGTTTCATCTGTGTCTTATAAACAGAAATTATCTAAAATTGGAATTTTACCATCTTACCCATCCAACCACTGAGGTTTAGTTATAAAGGAATGCTAAAATGAGCCATCCCATGTCTGTACTAGCAGAACAAAACCAAAATTGGTGAGGTTTTGTGGCATCAAACTAAACCTGCCTCTCATAACAGAGATGAGAATAAACTGAAACATTTTATCTGAGTCACAAACTGTGGTGGTTTACATGAGCAGGGACCAGAGGTCCAGTTGCCCACAGAAGGCGGAATGCAGCCACCCAGGTCAGAGTCTGGCCCCAACAGCAGAGTCGATTTCTTGTAGTTTCTGAAGAGAGAACTGGAATATCTCTCATGATCAGAAGGCTGTCTTTCTACTCAGAGAAACCTTAAGTGTTGACATCATGATAACAAGCTGTAACCATTACATCTGCAGAACAAGCTCTCTCTTTTGCCAGTCACAGCAGGGCACTGTAGCCAGCTCTTTGTGGAAGCAATAGCCTCATCCATAAGTAGTGGCTGAGTGGCTACACACATAAAATGCTCTTGTGATGTTCTCTCCTTTCATTAGTTCTCTTGCTGCAGAGACAAGCATAAGTGACCTTCAGGTTTCATTTGGATTTATTAATCTAATGACCACCTGTGGCCTCAGAATGACACTTGACATATATCACGTGGCCATTTGACGACATCACTCTTTACTCAAGTTGTCCCATGTTTTTCATCTCCGTGTTCCAGATGAGTTTGCTTGGCCTCCATTAATCTCCCATCAAGAATGATATTTCTATTCAGGCTTTAGATAACCTTTCCAAACCCAACTCTCTTTCTGCTAATCTTTCAGCTACTTGGAACATTCTTTTTTATCTTTTTTTTCCCCCTCTATTAAATACACAGTTATTTTAAAGCTGAAATGTGGAAATACCTCCATTAAAAGGATATATGTAAGAAAAACAAGGAAACAAGGTTGGTTCAGTCACGCAAGCTGTAATTTAGTTTAGAGTGTCCTAGCCGAATGATCCATCTACCATACTTGAGGATGTGAACAAAGAGATAACTGAAAGCACATGTGTTCTTGCAGAAAGTCTGACTCCATAAAAATGATGAAATTTGCATTTATGGTGTTTAAACAAGATAGTTTTTGACTGACCTTTGTCCACAGCACCTTGGAATGCTTTATGTCAGCTGTCTCTCTCTAGCAGTAATGCTCTGTCATTTTCTAATTAAATCTGTGCAACTGTTCACACTGGAACTAGAACTCAGCAAAGGACATCTATAAGGTTGCAGGGGCATGTATCTTCATTATCTATTTTTCTCATCTTATGACTCACACTGAGTTACATTCTGCTTAAACAAAGCAATATGGTTCTTACTATTGAGAGCACAAGAGTGCAAATATCATGCTAGTCCATGGGTTTGCTGTTGTTTTGTACAGTACCAGCTGGTTTTTATTGAGGAAACAGTATTATGTTGTTGAATAATTTTGGTCTCTCCAGGCCTTATTGTTCTA